CAAATCCATCCGTCATATCCATCAAAAACCTCACCAAACTCCCCCAGATCTCCCATATTTTACTCGATTCCTAAATCCCCAAATACCCAATCGCATGTTTCTACTAGATTCAAATTGTTTTCGCCTTTTGATTTAGAATTCGAGTATGATTATGTGAATTGCAGGTGAACAAGTATGATTAAAGTTGGAAAAAGGAGTGGTTTGGGGTTAGGCTGTTCTTCGAAGTCTTGAGTAACGCTGAGAAATCAGGGTTGTTGTCTAAGGTGGAGGAGTTAGAATTCACCTTTTCTTCAAGATGGAGCAGGTGGCGATGGCGACTGGTGGTTTCTTTTTGGGTTTAAGATGGAGGCAGAGGAGGGTGCGTAGAACTCGACCGCTTCATTAGGAGTTTTTTTAGGAGCACTTGTGAGTTTTTAAGAAAGGGTCTTAAAACCCAATTCGACTGTTACTGTTTTGCTTTTGGTGTTGATATTGATCTTACTGTCTCGATTTGTTTATCTTCACAAACAGTTGGTTTAAGATTTTGTTTTTGGATTTGGGTTGTTATTTTGGTTTACAACTTTGATTTTCTTCTGAACAACAATGGTGGGTTACAACCAGTAATTTTAGGTTTAGGTTTCATAGTAGAAATCAATTCAGGTGGTGGTGAAGGGCCTTGAAACACCGACAAGGGTTTCAGATCGACGGTGAGAGGGGTAATCGGAAAAGGACAACTATGACGGTGCTCTTTCAGATCTTCACGGGGCTGCTAGGCAGCTGATGAAGGCCATCAGATGGATATACATTGACGATGTCCTGAGCGGCGGTGACATGGATTAGATATCCAAAAAAAACCCACCTTGGAAACATCCATGGAGTCGATTTTCAGAAACTCACCCCTTGATATTTTTCAGAAATTTTAAGAAACATCCATGAAGTTGATTTCCTGGGTTTTCATCACTGCTTTATGAGTTTTTGAGAGGCGATGATGGAGTCATGGAGATTAGATCCAAGAACACCGGAATCTGGTATGCACAAACCATCTTGATTAAGAAGGAAGAGATGAAGAAGATGAACTGTTCTTGGGTAAAAAGAAAAAAAAACTGTGGGGGGAATACGGTGGAGAGAGAGAGAGAGAGGGTATATTATTTTTGTTTTATTTTTAATTGTTGTAATAAAAGAAAAATGGAAAATAAAATAATAAAGGGCAAATCCGTCATCTTAAAAAAGTTGATAGGAAATTGGACCAAACTCGTAACAAAACGAAACTATTGGACCATCCTTGCGAGCCAAACCCATTTTGGACCAAAGTTGCTAGTTTTGACATACCACAGGGACCATTCTTGCAATTTTGTCTTTACTTTTTAAAATATCACTTTTCATCATTCATTTTCTAAACTATTTCTAAACTATCGTGTTTATCTCATAGTATATATAAATATGATATTATTTATTCTACTTTGTAAAATGCATTTTCTATTGTTCTTATTTTTAAAATGTTACTTTGACCCTCACTGTAGCTAATATTAAAACTGTTGATGCCGAATATACAAATATATCAATGCATAAAGTGCAACTTTAATACCTCAACTTTATATAATCTGTTACTTGCAATCCCTCTATTTTGTAAAATATTTTCCATCCCCTTACTTTTTAAAATATAAGTTTCACTCATTCCACCTTCAACTTTATAAAATGTCATTTTCATCCCCTTCATCTTTCATCTCTCAACTTTGTATTATTTGTCACTTACAACCCCTTTTATTTTGTAAAATAATATCTATCATCCCTTTACTTTTTAAAACATCACTTTCACCTCTCAACCTTCAATTTTATAAAATATCACATTTACCCTTTTATTTTCTAAATTTTCGTATTTATCCTCCAACTTCTCGGTATATATATAATATGATTTCTTAGGCCTGACAATTGGGTTGGGTTCGGGTTGACGGGTTGACGGATCAGAAAACATAAACTCAACACAACTCATATAATATATAGGTTGATGGGTTGACGGGTCACGTGTTGGTGGGTTGGGAACCTCAACCCAACCCAACCCAACCCATATAACCCGTTTAAGTATATGGGTTCCCAAGTTAATGAGTCAAACCCAAGCCGGATAACCCGTTTAATAAATAAGCAACACATTTTAAAAAATGAGGTTTTTTCAACATAAATTCATAAAATGATTAAAGTAATTAACATAAAAAAAAGTTTTCAACATAAATTCATAAAGTCAATAACATCCAAATAAAAATGAAAAATGAAAACATTCATAGAAAGTGGATGTGTTCTTCGTTCGTCACTCGTGAAAATAACGACATGCATTTTTTTCTTTTTCTGATTAACGAATCGCAAATGCAGATTAGTCACATACGAATACAGAAGGAATACAATGATACAGAATATTACGAATACAGATGGAAATCAAATTTCATTAATAATTAAATTTATCATTTTTTAAATGTAATATATATATATATATATATATATATATATATAATATATATATATATATATATATATATATATATATACGGGTTGGCGGGTTGACCCACGAACCCATACAGATAACCCAACCCAACCCATGAAATAAACGGGTTGGTGGGTTGGCAGGTCAAAAATCTCAACACAAACCCATCTATTTTCGGGTTGGATCAGTGTCGGGTTATGGGTTGGGTCGAGAGTTGCCACCCCATGATTTCCCCTCTTCTTTCATCTGATCTAACTCTTATCATCAACTCTGACCACCCCAAATTGCATCTTTCATCTTCGGTTTCCAAATCTAAAACCTGTAACTCAAATGGTTCCATTTCCAAATCTGAAACTGGAGAGGCGCAAGTATGAGATCAGAACATGGGAAACAGGAGAAGAGAGTAAAATAGAGATTGAACTTGGCCGATGTCTTGGAGTCGATCTCCTTTTTATGAAACCGGAGATGTACAAGAGTTTCTAAAAGAGTTGCCGGAACATTGAAGTCGGTCGTTGTTAGTGGTGACGGTGGATATGAGATGTACTGAAGAAGAAAAAGGGGAGGGGGAGAAAAATGATTAAATGTACTAGTCCATTATTTTTAAATGCAAAAATATTTTTTTTGTATAATAAACAAATCAATAAATAATTAATAAATAAGAAGTAAATAGAAATAAAATCAAAAAATAAATAAATAAAGATAATGGTCTTTTTATGTGCAAAAAGACTAAGCATACACGGAAAAACAAAATAAATAACGGTCCAAAATAATTTTAAAAAATAAAGACTAAACACGTTTTTTGATATATACACAAGAAACAATTGGTTTAATTTAACCAAATTTGAATTTTTGAAGTTTTTTCATTTTTTGATAAAATAACATTTCTAAAAATTGAAGCGTCATAAAAAAAAACTTTATGGCTAGTCAAAGCTCGGCCTTGCTTTGGCCCGCCAATCCAAGCAACATGACAATTAGAACCTTGTTCTATTTAGTTTATCAATCCAATTTCAATATTTTCTTATGTTTCCTTTCTTTCATTTCTTTAATGCATGTATTTAGCCGTGTGTTATCCCGAAGAACACAAAACAGAAGATGAGGTGATCACAACTTAGGGGTGAGCATTTGGAACGGTGGACCGGACCGGACCGGACCGTTTTTTGGACCCCCGGGCCGGTTCTCGGTTCTAGGAATCCATCAAAACCGGTCCGGTTTTTTTTCCGGTCCGGTCCGGTTTTTACCGAGTTTAGAACCGGTTGGACCCGATTTTAAACTTTTTTTTGTAAACTTTAAACAACCATAACTCATTCGTTTTAAATCGGATTGACACGCGGTTTTTTCCAACGTTTAATTTACAGTTTGTAGATGAAGTTAGACTATAATTTTGTTGATTTTGGTATTATATTCACTGAGTTACAATTCTTTAAAGTTGAACTATCAAAGCTGACATATTTCAATTTTTTAACTATTATTTTAGACTATAATTCTGAACTTCATTTAGTTATTATTTTTAACTATTATTTTAGACTATAATTCTGAATTTTATGTATACAGATAAATCATATAAAAGGGATCTTGGTGAACTTAATTTATATATTAGTTGCTTTTATTTAGAAAATTAATTTTGTAAGCTATAATATTATAACATCAAGGTAGATTAGTGATGCATGAAACGAAAATATAATCATTTTTATAAGTTGTATCGTATCAAACCCAATTACGTATTCGTTTTAACGAGTTTTATCAAACCCAAAAACTTATTTTAACGACTTGTACTCTATGCAATTAAAGTTGTACCGGTCCAAACGGGTCCAAGACCCGGAAAACCAGGACCTGGACCCGGACACGACTCATCCGATCCGGTCGACGGTCCACAATATTCTCCATAACCAGTCCGATCCAAGAGCCAGTCTGGTCCGGTCCAAATGCTCACCCCTATCACAGCTAATACATGGTCCAATTGCCCAAAAAACAGAAGGTTGCTCACGGGAATCTGTTCTGGAGCATATGAAAAGCAAAGAATAACAGAATTTTCAATAGAAACCAGGTTTCCCGCTTTCAATTGCGTGGAAGCCATCAAATCCACAACATATCTATGGATCAAAAGCAGAGGGAAAAATAGGAATATTGATTGGTCATCATGGTGTAAATCTCCATTTCTTTATCTGTAATCTTAATATTTATACTTTGTTATTCCCGTCCTCTAGTCACTTGCTAGAGGTTGGTCTTATTAACATATTTGCCGGTTCAAAAAAAATTCAATTTGAGATTTTGTATCATTAAGTTTCGTATATGTTTTTTGTTCCCTCAGAAATGACATAACAATGTATCATCAAAATCAGAATTAGCATGGTCAAAATCATGCATCATCGGAAACATCAAATTCGTGTTTTATATCACTTATTTTTCAAAATTACCAAAAGCTAAACAAAATAATAAGAAATTTCAAAATCACCTCAAATCTGTATTAAAAAATCATCAAAAGAGATTGAAAAATAGATCAAAGCTCAGATAAAACACTAAACGTTGTAATTCCCTGACCTTAAACAAATTAAAGTCTCATAGAGCTGGGATTAGATAATGTCATCATCATTGCACTAGCCTTAAACAACAAAATAAAGGGTTAAAAATACAAACAATAATCAACAAAAAAGCTCAGTTACACATGAACTAATTTTAATCCACAACCTTAAACATATTAAGGTCTCAGAGTGAGCTGGGATGCAAGTTCAATCATCATCGCAAACAATAATCAACAAAAAAAAACTTGTTTCAATCATGTAAAGCAATTATTATTGAAGACAAGCGATCAGACTAGCTTTCTAGGCTGCATTATGCATCAAATCAAGCAACTAATCAATTGCTCTCAGAGCCCAGTGCAAAATTCATCATCTCTGAACAATTTCTAATTTTTACGAAAAAAATCGGTGAAAAAATTCGTCATATATTAGCTGAAAGTATAAAGAACTTATTTTGAAAGGATCCTCAGCGAAAATGCTTATAGCAGTCATCATGATGTTAAAATCAGGTCTCAAAGATATCATGCCATCATTGGATCACCAAATTCGATTTAAAAAAAAAAAGTAAAAAGGCAACATCAATTAGTACTTACAGAAAGAAAAACAAACAAAACGTATAAAAGTTGATGAATTTAGCGGGGTTTTATTAGCTGCGCCCGGTGATTAACAGAGGCAAAGCGACTCAACATTTCCGCAATAAATTTACGCCTCTTGAGGACGTAAGTCCATAGAAAAATCACATCAATTAGTAAGATTTGTACAGGATTTCTCACAAAGAGGCGAATTTTTTTTCAGATATCTGTTTTAGCGAAATCACAGAAATTCAACAACTAAGAGACAGTATCAGGGATACCAGTTTAGATGCAGATGAACAACCGCGAGGCGTTGGAACATTGTGGATCTCTGTCTGTGTGTTGAATAAACCTTTACAGCTTCAGTTTATATAGTAGTTTCATGAATATGGCGATTAGGGTTTTGAATCGATGAAGAGGGCAGTTTTTGATATTAATGATTTGGGGCACCTGGCCCAAATCGCAGCCCAGTTTTCTGTTCAAGCTCAATCAGCTTTTTATAAATTATTACTATATAAATAACTATTATGTTTTATATGATTATATAATAATATAATTTTGGAACATAATGGAAGTGAGAAAAAATATTTAAACAAATAGAGTCGAATATATATTTTAGTTTTTGCTTCAAATGGATATAAAAGGAGGATAAACACAACATGCAAATATACAATAACAAACTCGTACATTACATATTATGTATACATGGTTGTTTCTTGATTTATCATACATACCATGTCAAAAAAAAGAAAAAGAACTCATAGATAGTGAAACCTAGATTCATGTACTCGATTGATTTTATTTATTTATAAGGTCACCCATACATACCTCATGTCAGATGACATAATGGTTTGTTTCAGCAGCTAAGTAGCTAATGGGCACCTCCTGGACGATTTGCCGAAGTATATGTGTGATGACTATCGACTCCTGCATCACCTTTTCCTTCTTCCTCATTTCCCGTGTCTGGATTCTTTATTGTTCCAAACCCTCCCTTTCGTCCCAAATCAACGTTCTCTGCAATAGTTCCCGAGACTAGCAGTATGGCTACGAAGATCATGAGCCATGTCTTGTTCTTCTTCATCATCGTGTATGTACACTGAATCTAATTTAATGATAAAAATTATTCCTATACATAATTATCAAAACTAATAGAATTATAAATCATACAAGAAGAATAAAAGGTAAAGAGTATGGACCTTGTAGATTTTTTCTCCAAATGAGATCGATGTAAGAAATTTTTAGTGGAGTTGATTAAATAAGTAGGTATTTCAACTATTCATTCTATTGTGATGAAGCATCACACGAATTATATCTAACTTAAATTAAGTAAATAAAAACGTAGCAATGTATTATTGGTTGAATGACATGAATCTTACTATCTTAGTAACAAAATTAGTCAATGCAAAAAAAGCCCAAGCTTATGTAGGTGGCCCGTTTTAACAAAAACCAAATATTTTAACGGATTAAAAGTCCAAGTTAATGGCCCAACATATCCTGTAACTAAAAAAAGTTTTTCTTTTATTTTGCTTTGGTAAATTGAAAGACTATATTATCATAAAAATTTGGATTTTAATATTGATTTTTTTTTCTTAATTATGTCATTATATTTATAATTTGATTGAAATATCAAGAAAAATTACCAGTTCTTCCGATAACCATTTTTTTTTAATTGCAATAAAGTCGCTATATTAACACAAAATTTCGATTTTGACACCGATTTTTTTTCAATCATATCATTATATTTATAATTTTGTCAAATATTAACCAAATGACCGGTTCGATGCAAACCCTATATTTAAAACCCAATCATGTCATATAAGATCCGATATAGCTTCCACATCATAATATTATCATATTATTTATTTGGTAATTTGTTGGATTGATGATAATCAGTCACTTGGATCCGTATTAATAATCTTTTAAGATAGTAAATGAACAACAAGTTCAACAACGTTGATGTGATATACCTTGTTGACATGAACTCCAGAAGAAACTCAATCATCTTTGGGTAAGTCACATAAATACGTATTTTCTTGACATATTCGTAGGAAAGATCATACCATCAAAGATAATCGTTTGTTATCCTAATTTTCAAAATTTATTAATTAAGAACGATTTAATACTTTGGCTTTAACAAAACTGAGGCTTCAAACTCACTGCAATCAAAATCGTTTGTTATCCCAATTTCCAAATTTTATTAATTAACAACGAATACTATGTTCATAAGAAAAATATAAACTAACAAATCTGATATCATGGCTTAATTTTAGACATACAAAATAAAATATGTCTACAATAATATTTATGTTGAATTATGTAACTGCCATGTTGACTGAAATGATAACAATTATGGTAAATGGAATATTGCAAAAAACTATGTCTACCACTAAATTATATGAATTAAATATTTGTGGGATGATAAGAAGGTTTAGCACTAACAAAATGAATTGAGAGAAGTAATCATGATTTGGAATTCGTATTTACTAAAGTTTACTCGCTAACATTCTAACGCATACTTCCATTTTACTTTCATCATTGATGTTACTATCGTTACTGGACACACCTTTTTCGGGTGCACCGTGCACCTAGAGCACCATTTATAGATATATTCAACAACGAAATTTTGAAAGCTTTTATTTTTTTAATCTTAAGAAAAAACGACTCGAATTAAATAAAATGGTTCGTTCGGGAGGATAAGTTTAACACTTTTATTGTAAACAAATAGTTCATAATCAAAAAGCTACTTAGACAACTCTTTAGAGCTTTTGACTTTTATTAATTTTTAACTTTTAGTTTTTATGTAATTTTATATTTTTAAAATTTTCCGATTAGTTTGCTGAACACTTTCTAACAAATAAAATCTCCAGCTTTCAACTAGTTTTGTCAAACATGTCCTAATACCAACGATTATTTGATAGCCCTCTAACTAATTATATTAAGATGTAACATCTGAATTTGACAGTTTTCATAACGCTTGATAAAATCATTTTTCGCTCTATAAAATCATCTAAGAAATGACACAACGGACCTACTATGTATTTCGACTTTACATTTTCAGTCCCTAAAGTTATTTTTTTCCCTTTAAGGAAATAAAGTTGATGTCGAGCTGTTTTTTTTGTCACTACGACCTAATATACTAGGTTACATAAGCCACATAAGCACTTAAATCTGATGTGTCTTATGATTTGACATTTTTTAGTAAAAAATAATAATAATAAAATGTGGGGTCTCTCTCTCTCTCACACACACACACACGCAAACAACCATGTTCATGTTATCCATAAATAAATCAAGACAATAAGATCATCTTTAAATTAAAACATATATGAAACATTAGAATGAAACACATATCTGGAATATGCACTACAAGGAGAAAAAAAGCAAAAAAAAAATCAAAGGAAATCAAGAACAAAGCTCAGAAAAATCCATGAAATCAAAACATAATTTAGAAATCTCCCTTTATCGACCAAATATATACATACACACCAAAAACATAAACTAAAAGAACTCACCCGCAACATCATCTTCTCCGACCTCATCTTTAACAATGACTTCATCTTCCACCAACAAAACACATATGTGGAACAAATCAAAATCGATGTTGAAATCTAGAAAATACAAAAACTATAATCTTGAGATTTTGTTTTTTGAACCAACAAAATACATTTTGAATTTTGAAACCCAATAAATCGAGATGGTATTGGGTGATAATCGATTGGCTCACGTAGCAACTGATTGGTTATTGAGCAAAGATACTGAGATCGAGGCTGGTGTTTTGTGGCTTCTGTAAGATTTGGGTCCTTTTAAAAAAGGTTCGAAATCGAATCCGCTCAAGCTGTGAACAAAGAAGAAGCTCTTGCCATTGTCGGTCTAAGCGCAATTGGAGGAAGGGGAGATGAGATGAGTGAGGTGGGCCCCTTCACACTTTCGTTTTCTGGAATGAAAAGAATGGATACGACAGTCATGCGCGTAGGAACCACAGGGATGCACTTCATGGACAAACTTGGCTGAAGATGGATTTTTTGATCGCCTAGCCATTCGTGCGTGCAGGCAGGTATGATATTTGGTCAATCCGGGATGATGAGATAGGGCGAGAGTGGGTCTGGTTGTGATCTTTTGAATGCCGAGGAGAGAAAATAATGGATCACATTCACTTTTAAGTCCCTCCCCAAACTCATTTTACGAGGAATAACCAAGTACGATAAAGAGCAAGCGAAAACCAACCCTTGCCTTTATCTTAATAGAGATTACCTTTAATAATGATCTAATTGCTTGACGAAAGTATAGGAGTCAGAAGTTAACCAACTGACTGCCCTTCCTTCTCTTCTGAGATATGGAAAAGGAACTGAAAGAGGTCTCTCTTGTCCCTTCAAGTTTACCTACTACGGTACCGGAGTGAATATGATCTCCACCAGACGTACGTAACGCTTTAGCTAGTACACGCAAGTAAAGTGTATACCATGATTCTTCTGTCTATCAATAATTGCATGCATTGCACGGTGGATGTGAAGAAGTAGGTCATTATCTCGGCAATAATGAGACAAGCAGATGCAACGTTGACTTTTTTACTTTTTCTCTAATACCTATTGGGGGCTTTCCCAGCCTACGGTGGTGGGGCTTTTGGATCCTAGGCATGTGATGATCCACCTCTCCTCTCATGAGGATATGGTTAAGGCCTGTACTAGGGAATCTCATATTATTGACAGCTCCTTGTTTAGGTTATTTCGTTGTTCGCCTGATTTTCATCCTAGATATGAATCCTTTCTCTCTGTTGTTTAGATTTGGCTTCCCTCCTTCGATGAGCTTCTACAACATTAGGATTTTGAATCTAGAGCTTTTTACATTTAAAACGTTATTTAGCGGTGGTGGGAAGTGGCGAGTAAGTAGTAACGCTGACAGGAACGACGTAAGCTTCGACCATGGAGCAGTGGTGGAATCAACCACGAGAAGATGGGATGAGATATTGAGAGTTGAGGGAAGAAGAGATGTACCTAGGTTTCTTATGCATTGTGAGGGACATTTCCAACAGGAGAGAAAAATAGGGGGTAGAGTGGGTTTGGAGAAGACGATGTCTTGAAGAACGAGAGAGAGAGAGAGAGAGAGAGAGAGAGGAGAGAGAGAGAGGGTGTGCCCTCATTTAATAAGAAAGGCTCTTATCTGGCAAAAGGGTAACCGGTTTACCCCTTCAAAATTTTGAAAATCACTTTTTAAACCCGACAAAAACAACTTTGTTCCCTTAGAGGGCAAGAAAATAACTTTAGGGACTAAATGCGCAAATTCGTAAAACATAGTAGGACCGTTGCGTCATTTTCCCTAAAATCATATGCCTCTAAATAGTTTCTTATTCGTACTAACTCTAAATCATTTAATCTTGTGTTTGTTAAAATACTATATTTTTCCCTTAACACCACTTCCTCCCCTAATCCTTACCATATCCTTCCATCATATAACTGCATCCCTTATCCACCAGACTGCACTTCCTTCGTACACCTATTAGAGCCACCTTCTTAATCAATATGTCTATATATCTATCTCTATACTCTTTCTCTCTCTCTCTCTCTCTCACACACACACACACACACACATACACTTGTTTTACGACATCTAACCTAAAAGCTTTCCATCACACATCCTCCCCTACCCCTTATTGAGCTAGTTTACACTATGAGTCTGAAAAACATATTTTGGTATTTAGTTCACTTACATCATGGCTTTGATACCAAGTTGTAACGTTGTGATTTTTACTTAAAAATTTTCCTTTATATTTAAGAATAGTTTTAACATAAAATGTAATAGAAGACTTAATTATTCAATATTTCAAAAATAGCCACCAGCATTACATTTACTTCAAAACATCACACGTCAAAACAATTTAAGTTTTACAAAAACCAAATGAAAATAAAGTAATAACCAAAACATGTCCAAGATGATATCAACCTATTATGAAGGAAAACATCAAAATCGTAACTACCCACGCAACCCAACCTCACCAGCCATCTCCTAAAGCACTTGAACTAATCCACGACAAATGAAACAAGCAGATTGCAAGAGTCAACAATTGCTATGTGTAACACCCAATTTCAGAATGTTTCTAATTTTGAGATGACGAGATATAATTTGATCAAACGTTGAGAGAACTCTTTGGAGGTCCTCTCGCTTTAGTCAGTTCAGCCAATCCACTACTTCCGAACCCAGCTGTCTCGGACCCTTTTGGAGCCAACCCACATGTCTACCTATTCAACCTACTCGACCCACTCCACCAGTTGCACCCGTTCCACCAATTCCGAACTATTCATATGAATAAAACTTTGATACAAAAGACGTTGATTCCGAACTTAGTTCCAGTAAGAGTTTGCACTCCTGTCTATGAATTATAGACGACCTTGGAATCCCAATCAAAAACCTTCTCATAACTGAGTTCAAACTCCTCACCAAAGAAATCCTCAGCCTTACCCTAAACCAACTCAAAATCCACCAGCTTATCAACCCAACATTCCAAATCGCTACTCGGAACCTTAGAAAGTTCCAAACCCAGCCAAACCCAAGATTGTATGTCACAAATGTGGTCTCGAAAAGCACTATGTAAAGGACTGTTTAATTGACGTACCTCAAAAACCAAAGGTGAAAGACTCTGCTTACTATGCTCGTCGAGCACAAGAAATTGCTGAAAGTGAAAAGGCATTTGTCACTACGGTTTCAAGAAATGTTGATGGGTATTAGTCATCTGGTGATGAGGGTGAAGCAAAATATGGGAGAAACTTGTGTCTTATGGCTAGACAGACAATTGAGTGTGATGAAGGTTATTGGTCTTTCGGTTCGGAAGCTGATGATGAAGATGCTAAGCAAAATTACTGCTACATGGCAACCAACGATCCACCTAGCCGAAGCATCATCCAGTAGGTAAAATCTATGATTACTAATAATAATTTTTATTTATCTATTTTTGAACCTTATCAAACTGAAATCCAATCAAATATGACAGTTATTCATAAAGCATATGAGTCTGCCATGAAAAGTTGGATAGTGAGTTGACCCAACTTAGATTACGATTCGAAGACCGCACGTTTAAGATTGAATCATTAGAGAGAGAACTTGTAATGGCCAAAGATGAATGTATTATTTTGAATGATAAATGTGAAAATTCAATTAGTGAAAGAAATATATATTGGTTAATGATAACAAGCGTTTTAATGCTAAAATTGATGGTATGCATAATTCAATTGATGTTCTTGAAGCTAATGAAAGAATGACACACAATTTTCGTCATCCTTGGTCCAAAGCACTTAGTATCGGAAGCGAGTTTCTGAAACCTATTGATCATCCTCTGAAGGAACTTCAAAATTAAACATTTATGGGAGACATTCTGAATCACACTTATTCAGATACTCCTGTCTCGCCATTGTCGTCCCTTAATGAGACCTCAGATATATATCAATAATTAATTCATGAGTTCAAACCAATCATTGTTACATGTCCTGATTCTACGTAATTTCCGCATCTGATATCCCTGGACCTGAATCAGTCTTCGAAACTTCCACGTAACACAAAAGGTACTAGAATCCATCTTCCAAAATCCAGTCCTCTAAAAAATTATGTTATCAAGGAAATTCTTCCTGAGAGAAATGGACATGACTCGGACAAAGTCAATGATACCGCAAATTCATTTTGGTCATCTCTTAATAGTGATGTAGATGAGGAATTTAAGTGTGATGACGACACCTCGTCCTAATCCTGTGTTTCTAACTACAAAGTTCTTTCTAAGTCGACCTTATTTTCGATTAAGCCTCATTTCGACGATCCATCTGTTGGTATGTTACTTATGGAAATAATTCAAACTCCCATGCACATGACTGGGCAGAAGGATTTTCTGCGTGATCTAAAGTTTGCTCTAAATGCTGGTTATGTTACTTATGGAAATAATTCAAACTCCCGAATTTGAGGTTATGGCATCGTAACCAATGACAATTTCTCTGTCTCAAATGTGGCTTACGTGGCTGATCTCAAGCACAATCTGATCAGTGTAACCCAACTCACTATTGAAAATCAAAAGAGTTGAGTTTTATAAGAAGCATAGTTATGTTATGACAAAAGATCGGAAAGAATGTCTCATCAAATCAGATCGCATCAAAAATATGTATCCTATGGATATCAATATGATCATCGGAAAGCCTCAATTGTGTCTTCTATCAAAAGTTGTTCCTGACGTAAGTTGGTTATGGCATCAGAGGATTGCTCATCTCAACTTCTGATAAATGAATGATCTGGTTTCTAGTGAAATGGTCTGAGGTTTTTCACTCCTCAAATGTGAGAACGAACATCTTTGCACTACATGTGATTGTGGGAAACAATCAAAGAAAGGTCATCAAAGAAAGATCATCATGTCAAAAGAAAGGTCATCATGTCGAGTTCATCCTTGAACTCCTCGATTTCCTGAGTCTATTAGCCCCTTCGTAACTCATTAAGTCCCTATTCTTCAAATCAATGCCCTATATTCTAGATCCAAGCTAGAAATATGTCTAAAAGGGTAAAGTTTCCAACTTTACCCATTAAGGACCTCTCCCCAACACATAAAACTCAAACCCTAACTCAAAAGGGCTGAGATCCAACTCCAAAGGCCATCAAAACTTCAAGATAGACCATGAGGCCATAGATCTGGATTCTAGGGACAATTTGATCACGTAGAGATCCCATCTTTACTTCCATGCATGAACTACTAGGGCTCAAAAGACCAAAAAGATGGTCTAAAAGTTGCATGGGACTTCAATGGCCATAAAGTTGGCACCTTTATGCCATGAAGTCCCTTCAAGACCCTAGATCTGAAGGGTTTGCCCAAATGGGACGTCCAAATCCCAACCATCAATATACTTGGACCAAATCATGAAAGAAAGCATCCTAAAACTAGATCTAAGCATGTCATGGACAAGGTTGAAGCTTTATACCTCATATAAATCAGAAATGAAGCCCAACTTCTAGATCTACTCTCCTTCCACATGTTCTTGCTCCTCCTTCAAGCTTCATCTTCTTCAAACCCACCAAGAATGGACAAGATTAGCTCACAATCACCAAAAATGGCTTAGGGTTTCGAGATTTAGGGTTTGAAACTTAGAGGCTGGAAATGAGGCCAAACCCTAGAGCTTAAGTTGTTTAAATAGGGTGCAAACTCCCGATTTTAGGGTTTCCCAAACCCAGTCCAACTCGTCGAGTTGGTCCCCTCCAACTCGTCGAGTTGGTCTTCCAAAAACACGCGACCTTGATTTCCAACACGTCGAGTCCTTCCCCATGGAATCGACGAGTTAAATTTCTAATTGAATATTTTTATTTCCTTAATCGGCCTTCTAGATTCCGGGTGTTACAACTCTCCCCCATTTAAACTAGACTTCATCCTCGAAGTCCACTGCAATTACCTACCCCGGAAACAGCTCACACGCTAAGCCCGCGACTCCCACTATTTGCCATGAACCAACTGATGTTTCCTACGAGTACCGACACCCGCCATCTTGAGGGTACAATCATCACCCCGCCCAATCAATGGCCTTCCCAAGGCAACCAAAACTTCTATTCTAGAAATATCCCCCGAACCTTCAACCCTTGCAAGCCACTTCTACCTTATGAGACCTGAAACCTATTATAACCTGGCTTCCCGATAGCTCGCCCGTGCTGAAACAACTCTCCGTGAATCTCTCAACTGATAGCAA